GTCCCCACCTGCACCGGGTCAGTCACCGCAGACACGACCGCCTCCAAGGCCAAAAGCCACAGCAATGCTGTCTACACTGCTGCCTCCGCAGCGATGCGCACGGAAGGCGTGGCGTCCTCCGCAGCGAGCTGCCCTGCAGATGAGCCCACGAGGCGCTGCACCGCAGGAGCCACGTCCAAGCCCCGAAAAGCCTCCCAGAGCGCCCCCTGGGCCGGGCCCACACGGCGTCAAGTTTCATCGGATTGGTCAGGTGGGGTCATTTACCTGCCAATCAGCAGTCACGGAGCTAGGCGGCTGCGATAGGGCGGTCCTGGGCCATATGATCACCGGAACCGGAAATGCTTTACCCGAATTACCTGGCTTGAGTAATGGTGGGCAGGGGTCGGTGGTGTGAGCTGGTGCCTGCAGAGTGGCATGGAGGCTGGTGGCCAAAACGGCTCCCCATGCTACCTCCATCCCCAAGAGATGCATGCACTTGAAAAGAAGAAACAGAGGAAGCAGAACAGTAGCCTTGTTGCTATAACAAGGTTGCACAGAACACTAGGGCAGCGCAGTGCCTGGCGGCGTCTTAGGCATAGACGGTGGTGATGAGCGGCAGGATGTTTGACAAAGGCGTTTGGCAGGTCGCGTTCCCTGCGCCTGGGTGCGGCGCCCAAGTGGCCAGTGCCTGGATCTCGGTCCGAAAGCAGTGAAGAGTGGTTCCAGTCTCTGAGGCACCCTGAGGGCAGCCCAAGGGGTCAGTCATACACTTCTCTGTGCAGCGCTGTGCTGCAGTTTTCCAGCTCCTTTCAGAGACTCAGCCCATGGTGGGGCTTAGAGAAAAGCCCCTCTGCTCAGATGTTCTGCAGCCCGTTTCTGAGAAACTCCTAATTTGGGAGCTCCATTCTTCCTTCTCTTTTTTTTTGGGAAAGGTTTTTGCTATAGGACGCATGCGCTACGCAGAGAGACAGACAGAAAGTAAGAAATCACCCCCCCCCCGGGGGGGGATGGCCACACTGCAATCCCTTCTCCATTCTCCTCTCGGGATTTTGGGCACGCACGCACATGCGCCCAGCGTGAGTTTAAAGCACCGGGTCCAGGACTCGAACCACAATCAACTACATGGGAGTTCAGCGACATAGCCATTACACTAACTGCTGGTCCCTACCTTCCCTCTCTTAAACTGCGTTTTGTTATCACTCTGTGCCCACGTCTCCAACTCCTCGTGAGTGTGAGTGTGGACAGGAACCTGGACGTCCCACAGTCCTGAATCCGCGGTGTTGGGCCTGGGCACCCCGATATCCTGTCGGCAGCTTGAGAAGTAGGCAGCGCCCATGTGTGTGTGCCCCAAATCCAGACAGGAGGAGAGGTGGAGAGGGGGTTGAGCATGAGTGTTCCCCGTGGGGGTGGGTTCACAGCTCTCTCTCTAGCTCTGTCTCTCTGGCACACACACCCCCTGGCAAAATTTTTAGAAAGAAGAAAAACAAAGTAAAAGGAAGACAGAAAAGGGAGAACCTGGGGACACGATGGTAAAGGTGGCTGGATCCCCCAAGGCCGGCTGTGCGGTTTGAGTCCTGACCCAGTGGCTTGAGAAACACACTGGGCCCCTGCGTGTGAGCCCCAAATCCAGGAGCGTGAAGGAGTGCTGCTGCATGGCCACCCCGAGAGTGCTCTTCCCCTGCCCGTCTCTGCTGAGGGCACATGCTCTACCGCAGACATGGAGAAAAGGGGTGAGGGCTACAACGTGCTTTTTAGTCATTGTGGCAGGCCAGGTAACGGCTCCACCAACACCTAAACACCACTTCCTGGGGACTGTCACTTTACACAGCCAATGGGACTTTGCTTCAGTGTGGGGTGGGGGGTTGGGTCAATCCAGTTCCAAGAGTCCTCAAACTGTCCCCAGCTAGAAGAGAAGTGACCTCAGGGGACTCAGGAGAGGCCCCAAGATGGCTCTGAAACACGCGCTGCGCAGGGACCCAGGAGAGACCTCCGGAGCTGCGGGTGGCCCCATGGCGTCTATCGAAGAAATGGGGTCCACAGTGCTATACTGAAGGCCCTGGGCCGAGCGAGAACCCAGGGGAGCCTACCAGACATCTGGCCTACTGAGCTGGGAGCTAATCGCTGAATGTGTGCTGTCCAAAGCTGGTCTTGACAGCTGTTACGAAATTACCGATAGAAGTTGCTACCCATTCTCCAAAATGAGGCACTGGCTTCTGGAGAGCAGGGCATTGTTACTGGTTGGGCTGAGTTTCCTGCTTTGGAATCTGCTCTTAGTGAGCGGTGTGTGTGTTGCCCAGAAACTCATGTGCTGGGACCTGGCTGTGCTGACTGTACCGTAGGGCGTTAAGGGGGAGCTCAGTCCCTTGGTGTCCCAGAGGGAGGCCGCCTGTGACTGAGCACATGAGCAGAGAGAATGAGTAGGAGCAAAGAGAAAAATCCCATGGAGCCTGTTGGTAGCGTGGTGGTTAAAGCAATGGATCCCACATGGCCAACCCCGGTTTGAGTTCTGGACCTCATGGCTTGAAGATCGCATCAAGTGCCTGTGTGCGCATGCCCGAAATCCCGGGAGGGGATGGAGGAGAAGGGGTCGCAGCATGGCCAGAACCCTGGCGGTGGGGGGTGACTTCTCACCTTCCCTCTGTCTTCAGTGAATGCACTTGCTCTATGGCAACAACCTGAAAAAGGAGAAGGAACTAGAATATCACAGGTAAAGCTCTGACCTCTCCCGGCAGAGCCATCGCGCCTTCTCCCCTCTTGAAACAACCGCCTCAGAATGTGGCATATCTATCCTGCAGTCAACTTTTTAAAAAGTACATATGTATATCCAAGAATTTTAAGAAATGTGGTAGCTGGGGCAGCAGGTGGCATATTGGTTAAGGTGCTGGACTCCCACATAGCCAGCAACAGTTCAAGTCCCAGATCCGGCAGCTTGAAACTTGCATGAGGTGTGTGTGCATGCACGTGAGTGCCTAAGATCCCCAGGAGAACGGAGGAGGGACTGTGTTGTGGCCGTCCCTGTTGGGGGTGGTGGTGGTGATTTCTCACTTTCTCCTCCTGTCTCTCCTGTGAATGCACCTGCCCCATGGCAAAAATTTTTTTAAAAATGTATGCAGTCGTTACTATACTACATATGCTCCACCTACATAACATTAGTGTTAGACTGGGGCCAGCAGGGGGCATGGTGGAGGCACTGGATTCTCACAGCCAACTGTGGTTCGAGTCCTGGACCTGGTGGCTTGCTTTCTCACTTTTTCTCTCTCTCTCTCTGGTGAGTGTCTGTATCAAGTTAAACATAATAATAAAATTAAATAAGTACTTTAAAAAGCCCTGCACGTTAGACTATAGAAACCTGTTAGCATGGCCCCTATTTGCTTCCTCAACAGCACCCTTTGTGACCCACCTAACCTCAATGAAACAGATGACCTTCACCCTCCTTAAATAATTATTTTATTTTTATTGTTACTTTTTAATTTGCTACAGGGCACTCACACTTACCAGAGACAGAGAAAGGGACAGGGAAAGTGAGCAAGCAAGCTGCTGGGTGGGACTTGGGCTCTCAGTCATCACCCCACCCACTGGCCCCAGCCTTCATGCGTTTAAACGCCCCCAAGCATTAAGCCCTGCCACACGGGCAGGTTTTCCTCAGGCATGTCCCAGAGGACCCAAGTCTGGGCCACTGCAGTTTTATTTTTCTGCTCCCCCAAGAGAGCACCCTATTTACAGCTGGCGTCTTCCTGAGGGACCTGGGGACTAGGACGTGAGCTCCCAGGAGGCCACCTCTCAGACCGTTGCGTCCAATTTACGTCACGTGGCACGCAGGGGGCACACCTAAGTCCTTGGTCACCGGGCCCCTTGCTCAGGGAAGGGCCCCCTTGGTGGAACCTTGCCCAAGGGATGGGACGGTCCTGCCTGGGCCTACCTTTCTGCGGGGACTGGCCAGAGGGCCCATACATCAGCCAAAGATCGCGGCTGTCCATAGGGTGGAGTGGAGGCTGCAGGACCCCGCTGGCCCCGCGGTGCAGAGCCCGGCCTGCCTCGCGTCCAGCCCAGGGGGTGTGTTGATGGGGTCCTCTAGCCTGGGAGCCCCAGGGAGCTGAGCGCGCCTGGCCCACGCAGCTGCACCCCACAGGGCCGGACACCGCACACTCAGCGAGCCTCCCCTGCGTCAGCAGGGTGAGGAGCCCGCCAGGTCGCACGCGCGCCGCGTCCCCGTGCTGGCGGGGTGCGGCAGGAGCTGCCGAGGGCTGGGTGGCGGCCTGGCCAGGGACGGGGCGTCGGTCCCGGCTCCCTGGACCCCACTGGGCCTGTTGGGGCCCTGCCTGGGTGCGACGGGGGCGTCCCGGGCACTAGGGCGCAGACCCCACCTGGGAGGCTTAGCATTCATTCATTCGAGACTGGGGGGCCGCGGGGGGGGGGCGCGGCCG